TACTGTGCACTACAATAAATTTTACTGCGAAATCCTATTTGTAGTGCACAGTAAAATTTGCCTAAATACTATATATTGTTCCATAATAACATGATTTGCAGGGTAAATTTAAAAAAAAATTCTCTCCGTGTATAGAATCTATACGAATCTGTAAAGAATTTATTACGGAAAAATATCACTTTATGTTCTCAGCCAGGAAACCCGGATCTCTATACGTTTGTCGGACGGGCGTCCTGCCTTTAGACCACCGAAGCATGTAATAATATTCATAGCAACAAACAATCTAGCGCATCAATATTCCACGGTCTTTCCTGATACTTAATTATTTTACGTCGCCTTGAACAAACGTTTCCCTCAAAACATATATATATATTGAATTTATGCGGCTTGAAAACGCGCTAGATTGTTTGTTGACAATGAATATTATCACATACCTCGGTGATCTAAAGGCAGGACGCCCGTCCGGCAAACGTGGAAATCCAGGTTCGTTTCCTGGCTGAGAACATGGCGTGATATTTCGCAATATATTCTTTACAGATTTGTATAAATGCAAGTTAGCGTTTATTTGATGTCGCGAGGGTGGGGGGATTTCACAGGATTTAAAATAAATGCTTCGAGCATCGATTTATTAGATTGCCTTTGATAATTTAATTGTGATATTACATATACTACTTGGTTCGGAGCTGCGGAGATGCATGCGATTCACGGCCACGTGGTGTTATATAAATCGAAAATTGTAAGATTCACACTATAATATTATATGGAAGCACCAAAATCTGCTTTGTACCGTGTTGGCGTTTATGATCTTAATTATTTAATATTCTACGGTCTTTCCTGATACTTAAATATTTAATTATTGAAAGTATATCAAAATCGAAAAATTAGAAACAGCATAAATCTCTCTGATATTTTTAATCAATATAAAATATAATAAAGTTTTCATAGAAAATGTAAGACATCTTTAGTGCATACTAAAGTAATAATTCTATCACAGTGTGAAATCTTATTGCTTGATACAATACAATACATGAAAATAAGCATTTAATCGCATTTAATTGGCGTTTAATCATTTTTTTGTAAACTTTAATGAATTATGCAATATTTTTGCGGTATATAAACAAGCTATTAATAAATTAATAATTTCAAATCAAATAAATAAAAAATTAACAAATAAACAATTAAATTAAATTAAACATCATTAATTTTTACAGAAAATTTAAATTATTCGACTATATTATTTAATTTGCGGTAAAGAATGAAAACTGTCCAAAAATTGAAAACCGCTCTAAATTGAATTTCTCTGTATATAAAAATATATTAATTAATCCGTTATAAATCTAGTAAATCTAAAGGTACATGCACGTTGAACATTTTCAAGAGAATAATCGAAACATTAGTTTTAAGTTATACTCATCTATATCGCGCCGAAAAATAATCGTCGCCTCAACGAAGCGCACACGATGTTAAAATCAAGTGAGAGCGGAATTTCACGTCCCTTCGTCAAACATTTGTTGTGCATAAATTGCCAGTGCAATAGCATTGAGCAATATTGATCTGGGAATGACGAGATAAGCACAGAACTTTGCCAAGGCTGTCCTTTTAAGTCGGGATTTCGATGACAAAAATAAGTCGTATTACGCAACACGAAATTACTGAATGAGATTAATTACTGAATGAATGTCTATTTCTCAAATTAAATAAATGTGGATATCAATCAAGCAAAGATATGTTTATATTACTTATCGCAGCGTGTGATTAATCAAGTGCCATCGTGCCAATAATATCTCAAAAACATTACAGAATACTGCAACGTAAGATATTTAATAAGTCAAGCACTAGTCGATTCATTAATAAGTCAAACACGAGAAATAAAATT